TTTATAGCTGTTGTTATTATATACCGTTGCTTTCATAACTTTCCTACTTGTATCGCTGCTATCATTTTTGATTTTTATTTCGTGATCAAGCAATCTGTTCCTTACAAAAGCTAAAGTAAGGTTTTCCTCAGCTAGGGTCTCAATTGCAGTTATTACCCCGTCATATGACGATGGCAAGGTTAATAACAACTGCGACACTTTGTCCATTTCGTCGATTTTCGCTCCTGAAGCTAACAATTCACTAATTAATTCGTCGAAAATATTGAAATGGCATAACAGTGTTGTCTCACTCTGCAACTTCAGGGAAAGCAATCGTTTTCATAGATGGCGTCCAAATTTCTAAGAATTTGTCGCGCCGTGTTGTCGCTTGTCGCAAAATTTAGAAAAGAGTCAGTAAGGTATTCTACCAAAGTGCTCTTTGCAACACGCTCTGCCTTTTTCCACGAATCGTCAACCTCATCAGGAATATTCTGGTCAATTACTTTTAAAACATCCAATTCGGCGAATAGAGCTCTGAATTTCCAAACCGAATACTTTTTCCCGTCAATAGCCTTTATGTTGCGTTTTGTCTTTTCCACGGTATTTAACACACACACACACGCAGCTATATGTATGGATGGGAAACCGAATTTCACAAGGTTACGCAAACCAAAGCTATTTCACAAAATAACTAAAATTTCACTGGTCTAAATATAATATATTAGGCGTACCCTGGGTCCATAACTTGTTGGGATTCCAAGTTTAAATAAATAGATCAGCGTATTTCGTATTTAATTATTGTTTCTTTTATTTAGCAAAGCACAATCAACCGCAGCTTACGAGATCAGAAATAAGAGAGAGAGATTAACCGGGTGGTTCACGTTTTTGGTGTTACCAGAGTTCGATAACATTACAATGCTGGTTTTGGTATATACTACAAATTATAATGGGTATATTCTTAGGTATATTCAATATTAAATAACAACATTAATAAAATTACACCGCGAATCAAAAAAAACAAACAACCAAAACTCATTAAACATAACATTCAAAACAAGTGCCCTAAAAATGTAAACAAAACAAAAGCCAAACAGCCGTTCTGGTTTCTGTCACCACCCCTAAAATTCAATCGTCGGTAAGGTATGCAGGCACCACCCGCTCGCAGAACTACAACCAAAGCTGATTTGGTTTGAAGTTTTCTGAACCACTTAAAGGCAGTCGGTGTTTTTTGTGACACCGACTGCTAAATGCCCTGTTCGTATCTCAGTAGATTGATTTCTATTAATTGGAATACATACATATATGAAAAACATTTTACTGCTACCACTGATATGAATTTGTAAACCAAAATGAAATTTTTGCTAAAATATTAAAAAATTTACTATAACATATAATATTCTTATTTTTATCATTAACCCAATAGTGAATACGCTCATATTGTTAGAGTACCAAGTCTGAAAAGTAGCAAAAGACAAAATATTCTTGCTGCATCGAAATGAAATGATCGCACACATGCACCCCTGTATGAGAATGCATGAACACGCATACATACAAAGACCAATTCAAGCGCAGGGCAACCTTCTTCAAAATGCGCGTCTCTGCGACTGAACGACCGAATTCTTGCAATTAGCGCGCGAGTATCAAAATGAAAATAAGAATGAGAGCGAAAAAAACCCGAAGGCACACGAAGTGTCCGGGGCCTGCCGCTTAGAGCGATGGGGCCTGCCGTCGTTGTATGAAATGACCAGTCTATATGTTGTATGATTAGTGGTGTTACTTAGCACCGTTGTTATTTAAAAATTCTTCGGCAAATACTGATCAGGCAATTGCCGATCTATTTGCTCGGTTTTTCCAGACAACATAATCTGTTTCATCCGGTCAAAATCCGTCTTTTTCATAAGCCAAGTCAAACTAATTTTTTTGTCCAGAGACTTATTAGGGTTTTCATGAGATCTTCTAACATGTATTTTAAGTTATCTAAGTGGTAGGTCGCAACAAGTCCATTGTAAAAGCTCTATATCTAATTTTATCATAGTTACTTCAGGCGTCACATAAACAGAGTCACATTGGAGTCGCATGTCCTCATGTATGCTGACGACGTTAAGTTATCCTGCAATTTAGCGAAATTTCAGACTTACAGTCGGATCTAATGGATTTTCGAACATGGTGTTGTGGAAATCGCATGAAATTAAATAGAGCTAAGTGTAAAGTAATGACATTTATTCGGGTCAAACGACAATATAGAATCATGCATGTTGGTGACCTTGGCGTCGTACTGGACTCCAAAACTGACCAGTTTCGAGTTATAGACCGGATAGAGTCTGTGCAAAAGAACTTTTTATTATTTGCCTTTCTTGCTCTTTGCAAGACTTTTTTTTACCATCTTACTCTTGAAGACTTCTTCTAATTAATCTACCGTCCTTATCAAACCGTAGAACGATGCTTTTATTTGTAAACTTATTCACGTTGATGTGGAGAGTCCCGAGTTACTATATAAATATACCATAGAGTTTATTGCCATCTTATGATGAGTAAAACAGGATCTAAAATGGAAATTTAACCAGGATAATGATCCTAAACGCGAAAACACCTTGTTAAAAGAATGTTCCCAGGATAAACGAATTAATGTAAAAGAGTATTCTGTCAAAACACCAGATTCCAGATTGATTTATCAAAATTTCGCGTCCTTGGAAATAATTTTTAAATTCAAACTAAGCATGGGAAGAATGACAAAAAGTTGAATGGTGTGCCAGTAGTCTCAAATTTTGTTACAATCTAAGATTTTTATGCCTAACTAATTGCTATATCTTTAAGTATGAAGCAAACCGTTAATACTTTTTCTATTATTTTTGCAAAGGAAAATGTTTGATTAATTTATTCTTGTTTTGTTCTTAATTATTAAAGATAGGGTAAAATATGTTTAAACAAACAAACGAACGCTACTAGCGCGTTTCTAATATTTTTTCCACTACTTTATATTCAGAAACAAAACAAAAATGGTTGATATGGTTTTTAAGTAAAATAGTGTATACTAAGTATTTATATTTATTGTAATGGCAATCCGACCTACCCAATTTTTTGAAGGATCGGCCGACTATATTCTATAGCTGCCATATAACTGAACGATTGGAAATGCCATAACTTTGGTGTTTTTAAAGTTAGGAAGTATGGATTTTTTATGAGTATTAAGAATGCATCATATGAATAATTTTGGAGAATATAATTTACAGAGTATTCTGCAAGGGTATTTCAACTTCGGCTCCGCCCGAAGTTAGCTTTCCTTTCTTGTTTCTATTATTAAATGACATTATATGACTTTTTTTTGCATTAAAAAAGCTATTGACATGAAACTATGCAAATCTAATTTATTTATGTATACCTTGCTCAGGGTAAAAGTTCTTGCCAATCAGACAACTATGTACTACAGCTGTCATTTAAAAATTAAATTGGTTACAAATATTTCATTTTTTTTTTAATAATTACTTTAACTTTTATTTATATTTCGCGCAGTGTATAAGCTATTGACATCAATTTTTCAAATCTGCAAGGGTATTAAAACTTCGGCTTGCCGAAGTTATCTTCCGTCCTGGTTTTTATTATTTTTCTGATGATCCAGTAACAAGCTATGCTGTTCAGCGCAAAACCTTTTTTCTTGGAGGCTCATATGGAGCTTGGCTGCAAACAGCTCATTTATTTTTTTTCGATGAAAATTTTTTAAAACAGATTAAATGTTGTACTTTGATATGCTTATAAAATAATTGATCTGCCATTAACCGTTTCTTGAGAAAAAATGCATGCAATTTTTTGGCCGAATTAACCATACTACGAGTCTGGACCAGAATGCTAGTACCTCCATGAGCCTTACGATCAGGATGTTTTGTCGCAAAAAAATGTATAGCCATGTGTAAGGTGAAAATAGTTTTAGTTTGTTAGGTGGGTCTGTGAGCATAGCGTCAATGTCATGTCGGCTAGGAACTGCAAGAGCTCGTGCTGTTAAGAAACCATCTGAACAGATTTTTGTTTCATTGGGAATGAGAAGAGTGCATTGGCTCCTCTAGCGTTTGCTGTATTTCTACAAAATAATAGTTACTTACTCATGTTACTACTAAAAATCTATATGGGTTGTTAAGTAATTCTTTTTCGGGTGTCTTTCAAAGTCTCAACGGCATGAACCTTTAAAATAATTATAAACAATAACCTTAAAGGAGAAAAATTATATCCTAAAATATTAAACTTTAATTAAATAGTTACCTGTCATTAACTAAATATTTCCTTACCTTTTTGTGATTTAATATTTCTTTGGGTTCAACTAAGTTATTAAGATTTATAGAAGGGAGCCCATAAGGTATAGCGGAGACTTTCCATAAACTTCGTGATTTGTATACCCTTGCAGAGCGTATTATAATATCAGTCAAAAGTTTGCAACGCAGTGAAGGAAACATTTCCGACCCTATAAAGAATATATATAAATTCTTGATCAGCATCACTAGGAGAGTCGTTCTAGCCATGTCCGTCTGTCCATTTATATGCAAACTAGTCTCTCAGTTTTAAAGCTATCTACTTGAAACTTTCCCAAAAGTTGTCTTTCTATCGGGCGACTATATCATATAGCTCATAGGAACAATCGGAAAAAAAAATGTTTTTAATTTTTTTTGTTGTTCTTTCGGATTAGGTAATATTTAAATACTACGGAATTACGATATTAATTAAATTAAAATCGGACATCTAAATTAAAAATTATAAATATTTAATAACTGCAAGGGTGTATAAACTTCGGCTTGCCGAAGTTTGCTTCCTTTCTTGTTGAAATTACAATAGCAAACAACTAGGGATTTAGGATGTACATATGTAGATTCTAGGTTTTCTTACGCAGCGCAATTTTATTTCAGTTATTCCAGTTTTAATATTTTTTGACCAACCTTCTGCTAAATTTATGTTTTTATTTGTCGAAAGATAACGTCTTGTCCATTTGACATATTTATTATTACCGAATTTAGCTAATTTTATTATTATTTTTTTAGAACCAGAACTTTTTGAAGACGATCTTTTTGGTGAACCTTCTCAGCCAGCGGAGCAGATTGCGAAAGAACCTACAGCAATTATCATCGCAGATGATTTTGATGAAGATGAAATTGATAATTGTAATAACGTTCAGTCGCCTGCCACATCTTGTATAAATTCAGTTATTGATGAGAAAGGTGGTAAGTATTTAATTAGCTTTTTATACCCGTTACTCGTAGAGTAAAAGGGTATATTGTATTCGTGCAAAAGTATGTAACAGGTAGAAGGAAGCGTTTCCGACCCTATAAAGTAAAGCTTGTTCAGGATCACCAGCCGAGTCGATCTAGCTATGTCCGTCTGTCCGTCTGTCCGTCTCTCCGTCTGTCTGTCCGTCTGTCTGTCCGTATGAACGCTGAGATCTCGGAAACTATAAAAGCTAGAAGATTGGCATTTTGCATGTAGATTTTAGGAGTTCCTACGCAGCGCAAGTTTGTTTCAAAATGGTGCCACGCCCCCTCTGACGCCCACAAGCCACAAGCTGTGGCCACAGTTTTGATGATATTATGAAAATTTTAATTGATATGTATTTGTTTCGTCAATACCTATCGATTTGCCTAATAAAAGTTTGCCACGCCCACTCTAACGCCCAAAAACCTATTAAACGCTCAAGCCTGGCTAGCGCCTACATTTCCGCCCGTGGTAGCGCCATCTAACGGATGACTTTGGAACAGCTGGCCAAGGTGCTCAACAGAGTCAACGTTAATTCTCGATAATTTCTATTAAAGGAAATTGCGATGGTTTTCATTTGTCAATACCGAACTATATCCCAAGAACTATGCCAAATTGGAGGTCTGAGTCAAACAATGGCGTATGTGTGTATGTATGTAAGCATATACATATGTATGTATTTACATTGTACACAGTTGCAATTGCCCGGCAAAGATAACTCCTTTCAAAGAAAGCTATTCGCTATACCCGTTACTCGTGTTGTGCAAACATTTAGACTTTAATATACATAATACTATTTAAGAATGTATGTGTTTAGCCAATATAAGTATGTATGTTTAATATTTCTAGTCAATTTATTGCACTCAAAAACATAAACATAAACACAGCTGCTGGTGCAGGACAAAAGCTGCCTGCGCTAAAGCAGCGCAGTGCTCGTGCTGTAAAGCTGCCGGCACTAAGAGATCGCCGAATTCAAATTGATAATTTGAACTTTTTGTCTTTTTTTCCTGTGGTCACTACAATTCACATTATGTTAAAAAAAAAAAACACAAGAAGGCATATTTATATAAAGTTGTTTAGCTGAGTAACGGGTATCTAATAGTCGAGGCACTCGACTATAGCGTTCTCTCTTGTTTTCATTTGTCAATACCGAACTATATCCCAAGAACTATGCCAATCAAATCTAGTTAGCCAAATTGGAGGTCTGAGTCAAACAATGGCGTATGTGTGTATGTATGTAAGCATATACATATGTATGTATTTACATTGTACACAGTTGCAATTGCCTGGCAAAGATAACTCCTTTCAAAGAAAGCTATTCGCCATACCCGTTACTCGTGTTGTGCAAACATTTAGACTTCAATATAGATAATACTATTTAAGAATGTATGTGTTTACCAATATAAGTATGTATGTTCAATATTCCTAGTCAATTTATTGCACTCAAAAACATAAACATAAACACAGCTGCTGGTACAGGACAAAAGCTGCCTGCGCTAAAGCAGCGCTGGTGCTGATGCTCGTGCTGTAAAGCTGCCAGCTCTAAGAGATCGCCGAATTCAAATTGATAATTTGAACTTTTTTAGCTGAGTAACGGGTATCTAATAGTCGAGCCACTCGACTATAGCGTTTTCTCTTGTTTTTATTGTTATGAGTGACAAATAGATAAAAAGTGGTCAAATTATTAATCCAGCAATAAAACTTACAAAAAAAAAATTAAAAATAACCACTTTATTGTTTTTGTTTAGTTTCAAGAGATGGTTAAATTTTGTTCATACGTTACGTTTGACATGGAATAATTCAAAATATATATTTTTAGAAACTAATTTGCACGACAATGCCAGTGTCGGTGACAATATGCCCATAAATGAAATAACTCTTGTCCAAAACGAGGATGATGGATTCGCATTAGCTCCTATTGACGCAACAGTCTATAAAGGATTAACAAAGACCAAACGCAAAAGAAAACTTATTATTGATGAAATAAAAAATATTTCCGGAGAAGAAATGAAGGCGCAATTAGCCGATACTTCTGATATCTTAACTACACTCGATCTGGCCCCACCCACAAAAAGGTATTTAGTTAATATTGGCAAAAATATAATATAAAATAAATATTTTCTTTATTTGTAGACTGATGTATTGGAAAGAAACTGGAGGTGTTGAAAAATTGTTTTCATTACCATCAAGATCCATACCAGCCAGATCACTATTTAATAATTATAACAGACAGTTGTTTTCACATTCAACATTCTTTGAGGATTTTTCAAGTGTTGCTCCAATGGAAATTCTTGCATTGGAATTTTATGCACAAGAAAATGAGAATTCGCTAATTATTTTTAATAAAAAGGGACGCAAACGAAAGAATGATCTGGTTACTAATCAATTTTTGGACCATGTATCTGATTCACTGATTCAAAGCTTAGAGGTCCCTGAAGTTTTAAGAGAAGACCAAAAATCTCTAGGGCTATCTGCCGTTTCTTTAAACATTGCAACAAAAGAGCAAGAAAGTATAGCTTGTCAAAATGCATCAACTCTTTTTGATCACATGCAAAGTCCAGATTTATTGTCTTTAAATGACATGGAACATTTTTCATCAATTAATGACCTGCCATTAACACCAAGAAATACTAATAACGACATGGGAGATGATTTCAACCAAGGAGACTCAACGCCGGCGGGATTGGATCACGGCCACACAACTCCGCAGCATACAAATATTGGCGAGATGGACAATATACCATTTATACCTACAGATCAAATTAGCGCAATATTTAATGAATCTGTGGAGCGACCTTTGGTGAATGAAAACGGCTTTTCAAAAAGAGCAAGCGACTTTTCAAAGGGATGGGACAACTATGAAATTCCAACCTTCGTTGCTCAGGTGAGTTCATAAGAATAGTGCAAACCAATTTAAACATTTATTGAAATAAGGATTGCACACATTTGAAAAAAGAAAGCATTTAGATGTGGATACAAATTTAAAATAATTTTTTAAACCTTTTACATTGAGGGGAAAATGTTAAATGTAAAAATAATTTAAAATTTCAATGTTTTTAATCCCGACAAGAGCTTAAAACACTTCTGCAGTAGTTCGCCATCATGTGCGTATCTTGATGATATATCGCCCTGATCTTCATTTACATCTACAAGATTCGGCGGAAATCTTAATGGCAGCACATATATTGTAACTAACAGATTGACCGCTCTTCTGTCCCTGAATAAATTTTGAACCACCTCAGTAAAAGAGGTCCAAGCTGCTTTCTCCACATCTTTCGTTTTCCAGAGGTAGTTTACGTTTATGAACAAGGTTCCTTCGCAAAAAACACCTGTCTTGATATAAAGCCTTTACAAATTTTTATGGGGGGTATAGTTAATTATGTGCAAAATCGGTATTTTTAAAGAATTTTTTACGAAAGCTCAATTTTGGTTTTGAATTGATTCGATTTTCGCCTAAAACGTCGAAGTATTTGTTGCTCTAAAAGTAATAAATTAAAAAAAAAAAACTCGACAGCGTTACCTAAGGAATCTGGTAGAGAAATACTGTGCAAAATTTCAAAACGATCCGTTCGATAGATTTTGCAGGATCGTGTACACCGACTTTGAAATGGCCACTTTTCAGGATAGCGTTTTAAATTTTGGGCCTCCCAAATTTTCAATAAGCGCTTACTTACCTATGTTCAACTGCCCATAAGTTCGGAAGTTTTACTCGGATCGATCTAAAATTTTAACACAATATTCTCAATGTGTATTTAAAAAATAAAAAATAAAAAAAATGCAAAAAAAAATTTAAATACTATAACTAAGGGGGTTAAACCATGCTTTATGTCTAATGACGGCAAGAAAAGCTTTCCTAAAGAATTAGACGATTTCGAAAACATTGAAAGTTTTCGAAATTTCTGTTATTAGTTTCTTTTCAGTGAGAGGTACAAAATAAAGGTCATATTAAATGTGGGAATATCCTAAGGTCAACGTCCGAAAAAATAGTAACTTCGGATTTATGGCCCTTCTACTAACTAATTAAAAATAGAAAGCAATCAAGGTATACAACTTGACATAGGAGCCACCAATCGTTTTCTGGAGCTCCAGTGTTAAAATCCAAAGAAGTCGGGTGAAAACTTAAAAATTTCCATATACACCGAAAAACGGCATGTTTCCCAATTTGGTGGCGTCGATAGTAAAAGATGAAATCCCTTTATAAACATATTAATAAAATAATACCAGATAAGTAAATAAGTAAATCATCAGATTAAGGAACCGTTTTATTGTGAATATCCAATGAAGTAATAGGCCATTTTGAATTGTTTCGGCTGCGCAATTGGTAATTCCAAACTCATGCAAAATCGGGTTACCAACTCTCTTGAAAAACACTGTTAAAAGAATTATGAAAAATACAGCGGCAAATAGTAATCTAGTAATATTTGGTTTTTCTCCAAGGTATGAAATTGACTGTTTTTATTTTCTGTCGCAGAGCTTGAAAGAAAACATAACAGAAAAACTCAAAACAGAAAAACTCAAAAACTCTATAAAATGTACTTCAGCGAGGACAGGGCATATACAAATATACTAACCGTTAAATATGGGATTTATATTAAAAATGAATTATTTTATAGTTTCTGATTTGTTTAATGGAGGAACGAAATATGATCAATTTCTTAACATTTTTTTTACAGAATCACAGCGACGAACAAATGGAAAATGAAACTGATGAACAATTTGAAGAGCGTGTTTTAAATAAAAGAGCTGCACAACTTTTTATCGACGTAAGAGCTCATTTTAACGTTAAAGATAATTTAGCTCTTTCACAACTAACATCCGGAAACTCAAGAAAACAGGTAAAATTGTGTTCCTTAACCCATTCCTTAATTAATCTCCGCAGTTAGTTGCCCAATGGTCTCTTGATTTCGTAAGAAATTTATCAAAACATACGCCAGTTGGACTAATAAGGATGCAAGTTCAAGAGTATAAAAATGTTGTTTAATAACACTGTAGTACATTTTTATACCCTTGCAGAGGGTATTATAGTTTCAGTCAAAAGTTTGCAACGCAGTGGTGGAGCCATTTCCGACCTTATAAAGTATATATATTCTTGATCAGCATCACCAGGAGAGTCGATCTAGCCATGTCCGTCTGTCCGTTTTTACGTAGTTTTAAAGCTTGAAACTTTCCCAAAAGTTGTCTTTCTATTGCAGCTACCGAAACTTCTTATATCTGATTCCCGAGGTGGAAGCCTGGTTTCGGTAAAGAAGGTGAAACGCCGAGATTTCTTTTTTTCCTGATATGATTTACCTGATTGAATCGTTCTTTATCAGCAGCATTCTTACTAATCCCCTTGGTGGTAAAAATGTTCATAGTCGGAACAGATTCTTTGGATGTCACATTTAAGGCTTAATAAACCATTTGCCGACATAGCGTGAAATTGGAAGACATATTTTCTGTGCACTATACAAACATTCGTCATTGCACAGGCATAAGGAACTAGAAGATTTTATACCCTTGCAGTATTACAAAGCGATGTCGATTTTGCGCTTCATTTTCAATGGCAGCTATATGATATTCTGGTCGGATTTTGACAAAATGCGTAATTCTAATATAGTAAATTATTACAATATCTCAAAGGTTTATGTTGATAAATAGAAAAAAACAGCAAAATAAAATTTTGTTATATTATTTTTTTAATTTTTTGATTTTCCTATGGGAGTTATATGATATAGAGGACCGATTTTAATTTAATTAAAACAGTAATTCCATAGTATTTATACCCGTTACTCGTAGAGTAAAAGGGTATATTGTATTCGTGCAAAAGTATGTAACAGGTAGAAGGAAGCGTTTCCGACCCTATAAAGTATATATATTCTTGATCAGGATCACTAGCCGAGTGGATCTAGCCATGTCCGTCTGTCCGTCTCTCCGTCTGTCCGTCTCTCCGTCTGTCCGTATGAACGCTGAGATATCGGAAACTATAAAAGCTAGAAAATTGGCATTTTGCATGTAGATTTTAGGAGTTCCTACGCAGCGCAAGTTTGTTTCAAAATGGTGCCACGCGGCCTCTGACGCCCACAAGCCACAAGCTGTGGCCACAGTTTTGATGCTATTATAAAAATTTTAATTGATATGTATTTGTTTCGTCAATACCTATCGATTGGCCTAATAAAAGTTTGCCACGCCCACTCTAACGCCCAAAAACTCATTAAACGCTTAAGCCTGGCTAGCGCCTACATTTCCGCCTTTCATGGCGCCATCTAACGGATGACTTTGGAACAGCTGGCCAAGGTGCTCAACAGAGTCAACGTTAATTCTCGATAAGGATTTCTATTAAAGGAAAGTGCGATGGTTTTAATTTGTCAATACCGAACTATATCCCAAGAACTATGCAAATCAAATCTAGTTAGCCAAATTGGAGGTCTGAGTCAAACAATGGCGTATGTGTGTATGCTGGTGCAGGACAAAAGCTGCCTGCGCTAAAGCAGCGCTGGTGTTGATGCTCGTGCTGTAAAGCTGCCAGCTCTAAGAGAACGCCTAATTCAAATTGATAATTTGAACTTTTTGTCCCTTTTATCCTGTGGTCACTCTAATTCACATTATGTTAATGCAAAATCTAAAGTTGTTTAGCTGAGTAACGGGTATCTAATAGTCGAGGCACTCGACTATAGCGTTCTCTCTTGTTAAATAATGCCAAATTCCAAAGAACCAGAACTCTCAAATAACTGTCGACCGTTTCTCGTTGTCTGCAAATAAGTGTCTTTTCCTGACTTTTAACGAAAAGACTCAAAGAGCAACCGATTTATGGGTTCTTAAATGAGCACAATCTCAGAGCGAAACCGTTTTTTTCTATTCTGTTTTGTTCTGGTTGTTCCAAGACCGTTTTGTCGTGTATGTATTGGTATACATTCACACGCATAGGCAAGCAAATCGTTAAGCGACTGTTAAAAAATGTGGAATCAAAATGGAACTTATTAACAAAAATATTTGAAAATAAATTTAAATTCCTCTATTGAACAAATTATATTATTTCTTTTTATACCCTTGCAGAGGGTATTATAATTTTGGTCAAAAGTGTGCAACGCAGTGAAGGAGGCATCTCCGACCCTATAAAGTATATATATTCTTGATCAGGATCACCTCCTGAGTTGATATAGCCATGTCCGTCTGTCCGTCTGTCCGTCTGTCCGTCTGTCCGTCTGTCCGTCTGTCCGTCTGTCCGTCTGTCTGTCCGTCTGTCTGTTTCTACGCGAACTAGTCTCTCAGTTTTAAAGATATCGAATTGAAACTTTGCACACACCCTTCTTTCCTTTGCACGCAGTATATAAGTCGGAACGGCCGGGATCGGCCGACTATATCCTATAGCTGCCATATAACTGATTGATCGGAAATGCCATAACTCTGCTGTTTGTTAAGTTAGGAAGTTGGGACTCTCTATGGGTATTATATTTGGCCAATCAATCCGACGTACCAAATTTCATAAGGATCGGCCGACTATATCCTATAGCTGCCATATAACTGATTGATCGGAAATGCCATAACTTTGGTGTTTGTAAAGTTAGAAAGTTGGGATGTTCTATGGGTTTTATATTTGGCCAATCAATCCGACCTACCAAATTTCATAAGGATCGGCCGACTATATCCTATAGCTGCCATATAACTGAACGATTCGAAATGCCATAACTTTGGTGTTTTTAAAGTTAGGAAGTTTGAATTTTTTATGAGTATTAAGAATGCATCATAGGAATAATTTTGGAGAATATTATTATAGAGAATTCTGCAAGGGTATATCAACTTCGGCTCCGCCCGAAGTTAGCTTTCCTTTCTTGTTTACAACAACGAAAGTAAATGCGAAGACCGTTTGCGTTGAGTTTTTCGGTCAATCGGTCTTTTGCTGACACTCATTTTGCGAGCGTTTCTGCTCATTGAAAGAGCGATATACAAAGAACATAAATGAAGACAGCCAAGAGTCTCTTGCTCAGAGCGAGAGCGAGAATATTCTACAAGGGTATATCAACTTCGACTCCGTCCGAAGTTAGCTTTCCTTTCTTGTTTAAATTTTTTTCCGATTGTTCCTGTGGGAGCTACATGATATAGTCGTCCGATCCGGTACTACCTGCATTAGAAAACAACTTTTAAGAATGTTATATGCAGACTAGTTTGCATAGAAATATATATACTTTATTGGGTCGGAAATGTCTGCGTTGCAAACTTTTGACTGAAATTATAATACCCTCTGCAAGGGTATAAAAAAGGAAGGTTTAGCGCAGCAGCTGGACTGCCAACCCCGAGGGCAAGACCAGCAAACATTGTGTTTCAAAGTCCAAAAACACTGGATAATTAAAAAAAAAACGAGGACGGAAGCTAACTTGGGCAAGCCGAAGTTTTAATACCCTTGATTTTGAAAAATTTATGTCAATAGCTTATACACTGCGCAAAATATAAATTAAAGTTTATGTAATTATTTAAAAAAAAAATTAAATATATGTAACCAATTTAATTTTTAAATGGCAGCTGTACTATATAGTTGTCAAATTGGCAAGAACTTTTACCCTGCGCAAGGTATACATAAATAAATAAGATTTGCATAGTTTCATGTCAATAGCTTTTATACTGCAAAAATGTCATATCAAAATAGAAAGAAAGGGATATTTTCACAGCTTTTAACAATTATTCCAATGGAAGCTATATGATATAGACGTCCAATAGGCAAGCGCTTTCACCATGATCAAAGTATGCGTAAATAAATAAGACTTGGAAAAATTGTATGCTCAAGGTATGTATAAAAAAATACGATTTGGATAGATTAATGTCAATGAATAAATAAGACTTGGGAAAATTGATGTCTATAGCTTATATACTGCGCAAAATATCCTGAAAAACATCAAATTTAAACCTATTTCACTCTATAGTTTCTATGGGAGCTTTAAGCTAATGAAGGTATGCATAAAAAATCATACTTGGAAAGATGCATGTCAATAGCTTTTACACTTCGCGAAATATCTTCAATTCTTGCAAGGTATATCCGATTGTTTCTATGGGAGCTATAGGATATAGAAGTCCGATCGGGGAGCTTCAAACTTGATCTGGGTACACATGTTTTATGTCGACTGTGAGAGTTTCAGATCGCTAGCTGTTAAACTGAGCTCGCAAACGGTATTGAAACAGACGGGCAGATGGACATGGTTCTCATATTGATCCTGATCAAGAAAATATATACTTTATGGGGTCGGAAACGTCTCCTTCACTGCGTTACAAACTTCTGTAATACCCTCTGCAAGGGTATAGAATAGTATTACAAATAAGGGAGCTCTGAAATAAACACAACCGAATAGCTTGGAACAAAAGTCGAACCTTGAGCTATTAATAATTATATAAATGAATTAATAATGTGTTAAAAATATCCGAAAAATATACGATCACAGTTAAGTACCCTTATATATAGAAATATATTGTTACGCAAACTAGACTCTCAAATTTCCAGATATCTGGATAAAACTTTCGCAAGAAATTGAAAAATTAATTGAGAAATCCTAAATTATGTATTGCTTTTAGCATATACGCATACAAATTTTTGTATACATGTTTTTTAGACTATTATATTTGTATTATGTCAACAAAGGTATTTAAACGTCGGCTTTGTCAAAGTAAGCTTCATTTCTTGTTTTTACACTTTCATAAATTGGATACTTTTTCCTTTTGGATTTGGTTTGTCTAGTTTTGGCGGAACGAACAAAATAAATGTTAAGCTGTAATTTAAAAGTAACTCGCTTGTAGAATTATGAATTTTTTAGTTAGTTTTATCAAACCTTTTTTACAATCGTTAAACTATTTAAATATACATTTAAATATA